ACTTTGGAAGGCATCAGATTCTCCGCACTTAGGCCTGGGGGCCCCATGTTCTTCGTGGACATAATTTTAATCTGTTTTGTTTTTACAAATTTGAATTAGTTACCACCTCATAAAAGCCAGGATTTCAAAATAAAAATTCGGATTTCTTTAAAATCAGAAGGTCTGGCACCCCTCCATAGCCTACCCTTGTCCCCAGCACCAAGGGAGGGAAGCAGGGGTGGAGGGGGTGGTGGTGGGGTTTGTTTAGCATTGTCATTGCAGTTGTTGGGTTTCTTGTCCGGTAAAAAGGCAGGGAAGTGTGTTAAATCGAGTTTAGCCTAAAGCTGCCTCCTTAGATATTTTAAGTCCATCCTAAAGGTTTTTCTGTATATCGTGAACTATGAAAGGGGAGATGTAGCCTCCACTTGTGCCAGTCACCGAGTTTTAGCCAATCAAACATAGCCAACTGTTCCAACCTTGTTCAAATAAGGCAAAGGAGCTGTAACCAATCCAGCTGTTTCTGTACCTCACTTCTGTTTTCTGAAAGTAGGTAGAAATTAATTTGCTTTGAAAAAAATAATTTTCCCTGAAAGGTAGCTGCTGTATCCCAAGGCTTGGTCAGGTTAACAAGTGACAGCATGGAATATTTGGAGGAGGTTTGAAATTGGGCACACGTGGGTTTTGATTCTGCCTAACCACTTGTTACGCTCTGAGGTCTCTAAGCCTCAATAAAATGGACTTAACTGCATTTACTTGCTGAATTGATTAAAGATAAACTAACGTATGCAAAGCCCCGGGCATATTGTTCTGGCAAATAGTTTGTAATAATAAATATAGTTATTATGTTTGTTATAAGTAAAATTTCAATGCCGCAAAAGAAACAGCACTTGAAGATAAATCCTCTCAGCAAGGCAATTTATCTCTATAGAAGGGTGCGGCTCACGGATGGAGCAATGGTGGCTGCATGCTTGGAAAAGGGGGAAGGGGTACTTTTGCCTGACAGAGGTCATCCCTACTGCTGTGTCGTTCCCCTATTGGCTAGGGTTAGACTGCACAAGCTGGACTAATCCCGATTGGCTATTTTAAAGAGAGCAGGGGTCCGAGCTAGAGTGGGGTAGGGTGGGTGTTTTGGCAGGAGGGACGGTTACGGGTGGGTCAGAACAGGTTGCCAGGAGTGACCTAGGTCAAAGAAGGTGACCCAAGCAGGTGACTGGATCAGGTGACCGGGAGAGTCAGGATGGCGTTGGAGGGGGGAGGTGGGGGAACAGATGTGAACTACTGATAACAACCGGTGGAGAAGATTGTTTACTGGAATTACAAGGAAGTTAAACTTTAAAACAGGGAATTAAAGAATAAGAGAGCTGAACATACTGACATACTGATTCCTTGAAGAGGAACTTGGGGTTCACTATAGCATGTTTGAGAACTTGAGACTTGGTTATGGGTGAGGAAGAGAGGAATGAAAGAAAAGAAAAAGAATTCCTATTTGCATTATAGTTAGGTTGAAGATGGGGTTTCCTCTGCCTGGCTCCCTGCCGGCCCCCATTAAACATCTCTCCCATCTTCTGGGGAAACTGCTGAGTCATCACAGCCTTGGAGTATGTAGTGGAGAAACAAACGGAGGACACCCTTCCGGGGAAAGGTGGAGGATGGCTTTGTACAGATAAGGTGAAGGTCACTTCTGTGCTTGCCCTCACAGTATTGCCAAGGTACTCTTCACAGCGAAATGAGGGCAAAGATAACCAAATGTGATTTCAATGGAAGACAGGCTAAGGGAAATGAAGCCAGACATTGATTGAATAGAAGCTTCCACATGGCACCATTTGTCTAATCTGCCTCCCCAGCTGGTGTCGTTCTCGTCGATGGTTTCCTGTGACACTTTAGGTTTATCTTCTGGAAGGTAACCAGGGTTCTGGTTAACCAGTGATGAGCTTCTTGGTACTGTTATGTCTCTGGTTTTATTTTGGTGTGAATCCTCCTAAATGGTGACGTGATTCTTGCTTACAGCCCTGGAGATTGAAGAATATACTGACAAGATACAAAAGCATCTTGGGCACAGTAAAAAACAAAAACAAAAAAACAAAGGCAGACATCTAGCTCCAGCCACGCTATGGGAGAGAGGGGTATGTGCCGGGCGCCTACCCTCAGGACCCAGCCAGTGTCTTCATCAGGGTTAGTTTTGATACTTGAGGCAAGGAATTACAGCATGCAAGTGGAATGACAATGAAATTAGTCCTTAAAAGTAAAATTAGACACAACTTGCTAAAAATCACTGAAAATTAGCTTAGATTCTCAAGAACTGTGAGCTTTATAGCAGTTATTTGATGTGGAATGTCTGGCCTTCTCTGTTACAGAAAATCTGGAAAATTTTATAGAAAGAGTTAAAGGCAAAAAAAAAAAAAAAAAAATGTCTGGTCTGGTCCCATAGCTCTTTGAGCGCTCTCTGTTCCAGTGGACATCTTACTGCATGGCAGTTACCTGTTTTAATGTCTGTCACCCCTCCCACTGGACTGCAGGCCACTTGAGGCCAGAGGCATGTCCCATTGGTTTTTTTTTTGTTTTGTTTTTTTTTTTTATTGCTTGTCCCAGGCTTGGTGTAGTTGCGGGAAAGGGGTCCCGTTCCAGATCCCAAAAGAGGGTTCGTGAGTCTTGCACAAAAAAGAATCCTGGGTGAGTCCACAGAGTAAAGTGAAAGCAAGTTTACTAGAGAAGTAGAGAAGCAAAAGAATGGCAACTCCATAGGCAGAGCCGCCCTGAGCACTGCTGTGGCTATTTTCATGTTATTTCTTGATCATATGCCAAACAAGGGGTACACTATTCATGAATTTTCTGGGAAAGGGGCAGATAATTCCTGGAACTGAGGACCCCTCCCCCCTTTTTAGACCATATGGGGTAACTTCTGGGCATTTGCATGGCATTTGTAAACTGTCATGGCACTGGTGGGAGTGTCTTTTAGCATGCAAATGCATTATAATTAGCATATAATGAGCAGTGAGGAAGACCAGAGGTCACTGTGGTCGCCATCTTGGTTTTGGTGGGTTTTGGCTGCTTCTTTACCCTTTTATCCCGGGGTCTTTGTGATGGGTATCTGTGACCTCCTGTCTCACCCTGTGATTAAGAATGCCTGACATCCTGGGGATGCATCGAGCAGGTCTCGCTCTCATTTTACCCAGCCCCTATTCAAGATGGAACCACTGTGGTTGCAATGCCTCTGACAGCATCATGTGGTTCAAAGTAGTCAGAGCTGGAGAGGTTTCCTCCCTCCTTGATGAGAGGAAAGGGCGCAAGTTTTGAAGTCTGCTGGGCCTTGATTCAAACATCCACTCTTTGTATTTTCCATTGCTTTGTAACAAATGTAACAGCTTGACATACTGCCTGCTTATGAGCTGGTGGTTCTCTAGGTAGAAGACTGAGTGGAGGAATCCAGGCGAGCTCTGCTTACATCCCTAGTTGGGATCTCACAGGTTGAGGTCTAGGTGTAGGCCAGGCCTTCCTCTTACCTGGAAGTTCTGGGGAAGAATCCATTTGCATGTTCATTCAGGTTTTTGGCAGAATCCATTTCCTTGTGGCTGGAGGTCTGAGGTCCTCATTCCCTCAATGGCTGTCAGCCAGGAGCCACTCTTCCTCCCAGAGGTCACCCCTGTTCCCCTCCTTCTTCAAAGTCTGCTGAGTCCTTGTCAGGCTTCAAGTCTCTGACTTCTCTGTTACCAGCTCAAGAGAACGCTTTGCTTTTAAAGGGCTCTTGTGCTTGGATGTAGCCTACTTGGATAATTTCCCTTTTGCTCTACATAGTAGTTCCCCCTTATCTGCAGGGGATATGTGCCAGGACCCTCAGTGGATACCTGAAACCGTGGATAGTACTGAATCCTATATATACTATGTTTTTTCCTATGCATACATATCTCTGATAAAGTTAATAAGTTGGGCACAGTAAGATATTAATAATCAACAATAACAAAATAGAGTAATTACAACAATATGCTAGAATGAAAGCTACAGGCATGTGGTCTCTCTCCTCTCTCTCAACCTGTCTTACTTTTACTGTTCTCACTCCTCATCGTGGGATGGCGTGAGATGATAAAGTGCCTGCGTGGGGAGAGGTCCTGGCAGCTGATCTGATAACCAAGGCGGCTACCAAGTGGCTAACAGGCCAGGAGTGGAGACAGCATGGACAAAGGGATGATACATGTCTCTGGTGGGACGGAGCCGGATGGCGCGAGATTTCATCACATTACTCAGAATCGTGCATAGTTTAAAACTAAATTTTTTGTTTCTGGAATGTTTCTGGCATTTTCCATGTAGTAGTTCTAAGCCATGGTTGGCTGCTGGTAACTGAAACTGCAGATAAGAGGGAGACTGCTGTAATGTAACATGAGCAGCAGCCACACCGGGGCTGAAGGTCACAGGACCGCCGTAAAATTCTGCCTGCTACTCTCTTCCCCCTGTGGCCCAGTGACCTGGTGCAGGTGACATAACTTCTCTGAGCATCTTTCTTCAGCTGTCAAGTGGGCACAGTGAAAGGTTTTGACAGAATCAGGGGAGGCAGTGAGTGCCTCTGCAGTGTTTGGGCAGGTTTTTTTTTTCTTTTTTTTACCCTTCCTTTGTTAAGCCAGTTTGATTTGAAATCTCTCTTGTCTGATTCAGATACAACAAAATCGTAAAGGGCCTTCTTCGTCTGAAGTACTTGTCATTCTAAAAGGTTGTTATGATTTTCCGGGTTTTTTTCTATGCAGAGGAGTAAGAAGAGACAAGCTGGGCCACATGTCCTCATCCAAACCTTTCTGGTCTTTACTTCTTCCCCTCACCCCCCACCGAGTCTGCTTCAGCTGCTGTCTCTGGGAGCCTGCAGGGCGGGGGCCAGGGAGCTCTGCCTGTGTCCCCAAGCACGTGGTGGTTCTGGTCAGAGGCCGGCCCCACCAGCAGCTGGCCCCTGCCACTCAGCGGGAGGCTGGCCTGAGGCTGAGGGGCTCCTGGGCCGCTGACTGCTCACCGCCTCTCTGCCTGTCGCTCTGTCCCCTCAGGAGATCCCCCGAGAGCTCACGCTGGATGCCCTGCTGGAGATGAACGAGGCCAGGGTGAAGGAGACACTGCGGCGCTGTGGGGCCAGTGCGGAGGAGTGTGGCCGCTTGCAGTATGCCCTCACCTGCCTGCGGAAAGTGACAGGCCTGGGTACGTGGGGCCTGCCGCCCTCTCCCTTGGCCTGGTGCCCTGGGGGCTGTGGCCTCCACCATGGTGGGGGATGGAGTGGGGCAGGCATGGGCCAGGGTTGCTGGGGCAGCCTGGAAAGGCCAGGGTTGGATGGTAACAGCCTCCTGAGAAGCTCTCCCAGGGTCCTCGGGGCTCCTGATCCTGGTGGGTCTGGCCAGGCTGAACCTGAGGGGGCTTTAGCCATGCTTAGAAATCCCAGGCCTGTCTGCTGGGCTGGACTGGCAAGGTTTCCTTTCTGTGGAGGGCTCTGTGTACCTTCCACCAGCTTCCCGCATTCTAGCCCCCAGCCCAACCCCAGCCCGCTCCCTGCCTTCTCCTGTCCCCATTGCTGGCTGGGTTCTGTGCTCAGAAGGCACACGCTGATGTGGGCCTGAGCCAAGGGCAATTAGGGAAACTCTATGGCTCTTTAGCTGGGAGCGTGTACGTGGCTGTCCCAGACAAAGTGTGTAATCCTGGCCTTGCTAGGAGGTCCTTGGGAATTATTCACAGGCTTTCTAAATCTTGCCTTGGAAACAGCTTCAAATGCCTGACTTAATGCTCCCCCTACCACACAGATAAGGCATTAAAATCAGCCTCATGAATGGAATCAGGTCTGCTTTTTAATTATCTGAGGCTCCTGTCTTACCTCCGGCTCCCTGAGGCTTAAGGAAGGCACTGAGGTTTATATTCTGCCTGGTTTTTTTCTTCCCAGAGAGGATCGGGCTTAATTTCCTCTCTGGCCTCATTGTATCAAGTCCTCCACACACAGCGCAGTGTAGAAAGTTGCACTCAATTCAGAAAATCTTACCATACCAGGTCTCCCAGCAGATGCTGAAATTAAACATGGCAGAGGTGTGGCCAGCGTTCTTATTCCCACATATTACAGGAGCAGACTGAGCCCAGAGAGGGGAAGGGGCTTGGGAAAGGACACACAGCAGTTGATGACTGAGCCAGGATTTGATCCTCAGGCTGTAATGGCGATTGGTTTGTTCCCATGCTTGCCACCCAAGCTGAGATCTTTGGGGTAATTTGTCAGCCCTTCTTTCCTTCCTCCTTATGCCTGGATTTTAAAGAACTGTGGAAGAGTCAGCTGTTCAGTGGTAGTGACCCATTTGGGTGATGAAGGCTGCTGTCCACCTGTCATAGATGCCAAAAGAGGGAGATCACTAATTTATGCACCTACTATGTGCCAGGCGTGTGTCACACATATTGTGGCTGCACCCTTGTAAGAGGTGGTGTTAAGCTCACTTTGTAGCTGAGGCCTCTCTGACCACTGGAGGCACTGGATGAGTCATCCGGGGCCCCACACCTTGCCTGGAGCAGAGCTGGGCTTTGAACTCGTTTCTTGTTCAGAGGGTGCTTTTTCCTCCCTAGAGGAGGCCCCTGAAAAGAGGCATTTTCTAGGTTTCTTCTCTCTCATTTAGTCTCAGCTTATGGTGCCTCTGCATCCCCAGCAGAGTCCTGGCCCCATCACAGTCCAGGACACAGACCTTTCGTCTGCCTGGTGCTGGCCACACTTCAGGCACCTGCTGGGATCCACTGGGTACCAGCAATCCTGTCAGATTCCGCATCACAGCATCTTCACCGCGCCCCATGGGGCTTAGTGAGGGCAGTCTGGTCATGGTAAGGATGGGCTATGGAATCAGAGTGCCTGGGCCCAGCACTGTGCTTAGCCACTTAGAACCTATGAGACGTCGGCAAGTTACTTCACCTCACTGTACTTCGGTTTCCTCATCTGTAAAATGGCAGCGATAACAACACTTCTCTCAGGGTCATTGTGAAGAGGAAATGAGTTAAAGTGAAGTCCTTAGACCAGAGCCTGGCGTCTATTAGGTGTTCTTTTCAGTACAAGGCCTGTGAGGGGACAGAACATGTTGAAGTCATTTCCCTTGTAATCTCTGATCTAAAGAAAGGTGAGTGAACAGCTGGGCGTGGTGGCTCAGGCCTGTAATCCCAGCATTTGGGATGCCAAGGCAGACTGATTGCTTGAGCTCAGGAGTTTAAGACCAGCCTGGGCAACATAGCAAAACCCCATCTCTACAAAAAATACAAAAATTAGTCAAGCGTGGTTGTGTGTGCCTATAGTCCCAGCTACTCAGGAAGCTGAGGTGGGAGGATGGCTTGATCCTGGGAGATAAGGGTTGCAGTTGAACCAAGATCATACCACTGCACTCCAGCTTTGGTGACAGAGCCCGACCCTAGAGCAAAAAAAAAAAAAAAAAAAAAAAAAAAAGAGTGAGTCAAGGATGGTTGTCTGTGCTGGTGAATAGGGGATGAGTGAGTATTCCTGCAGATATCACTAAGCTGCAGATGCTTCTGTTGAGCAACTCTAGGGTCATTCTCAAGCAGCCACTGGCAATCAATCAGCCGCTGTTGGTGCACACATCAAGACCCATTGGCCATCCTCGAGTAGGCCCAGAGCAGTGGTGATTAAACAGGCAACTTGCAAATTTGGGGCTTATTTCCTTTGGTGGCAGGCTTGCTCATAGATTCATGAAATTCATTCCTTCATCTGCTCAACAAGAAACCTGTTCAGTGCCCCCGACAGGCCAATCTATGAGCCACAGTGTCAGTCGTGGCTGCAGTGCATAAGGAGCAAGCAGTCTGGGAGCACAGGGACTGAGCAGCTCCTGTCCATTGGACCCTGAATAGAAAGTCCCTCCAGTCAGGTGAAAGGAAGGGTGTTTGAAGAGGGGATGGGGTGTACAAAGAAATTTACAAATCAAGAAGGCTAATTCTTCCCCACCACCACACCATTCTTGATGAGTGGCTTGACCACCTCTGATGACAGGGAGCTTGTTACGTCCCACAGCTGTTATGCTGTAGGCTATTGAGAATCAGTAGCATCGTCAGGGCGGGGGTAGAAGAGGTGGGGAGCGTGGTGCTGAGATTGATGTTTTCAATTCCCGTCACACTGCTTTCTTAGCTATCTGGCCTTGGGCAGTGTCTGTGGCCTCCCTGAGTCTCAGTGGCCTCCACTGTACACTGGGGAGAAGAACAGGCATTGCAGGAGGGTGGAGGGAGGCAAGGCTTGCCCAGCACTGGTGCATCAGTCCCTTCTCGAAGGTTGTAAAGAAATACCTGAGGCTGGCTTGCTTATTTATTTATTTATTTATGAGATGGAAACGTACTCTGTCACCCAGGCATGATTGCGGCTCACTGCAACCTCCACCTCCTGGGTTCAAGCAATTCTCATGGCTCAGCCTCCTAGGTAGCTGGAACTAATGGTGAGCACCACCACACCTGGCTAATTTTTGCATATTTAGTAGAGATGAGGTTTTGCCATGTTGGCCAGGCTGATCTCGAACTCCTGACCTGGTGATCTGCAGGACTGGTTAATTTATTTTAAAAAGAGGTTTACTTGGCTTAATGGTTCTGCAGGCTCTCCAGAACCAGAAGCTGCCATGTGTCCTATAGAGCCTGCAGAACCTTTGAGCCAAGCTTCCAGGCATGGTGGATAGCAAGGGGAAGTGAGGCATCCCACAGGGCAGGAGCAAGAGCAAGAGGGGACAGGGAGGTGCTACACACTTTTAAACTCACTCTCACGAGAACAGCACCAACAGGATGGTGCTGAAACAGCCATGAAAAACCGCCCCCAGGATCCAGTCACCTCCCACTGCTGATTTAGGATCTGCTTCTCTACAGAGGCCCCTGTGTGTCTCTGTACTGGCACAGAGCATACTATGTTATGTGCCTATCACGCCCATTCAACTCTTCACAGGGATAGTTTTTTTTGGGCCTTTCCACCAGCATCCAGCATGTGCTTGAATGGCTACACAGCCTGTGCCCTGGAGCTCAAGCCCCACAGAGCCACACAAGCCTCGGGCCTCAGGCAGAGAGGGTCACAGTGGGGGCAGCCCACAGTCACTCAAAGGCTGGTACAGAAGGAAGTGGCTGTTGATCCCTTTCTTCCTGGATTTTTTTTCCACAAGCCCCAGGGTACTTTGCTGTTGGATGCTCAGAACAGCCCCTTGTCTTAGTGTTTGAATTTTGTTAAAGTGGAGTTTTTCCTTCCTTCACACACCCAGCTTCCCTTTCCTAACTCTTACAGATCGGCCACCCCTTCGCTTTCTGAGGTCAGCCACTTTTGGTGTGGATTTCCTGGATTGCTCCCCCAAGACCTGCCTGTAAGAGCCCTGCCCAAGCCAGTTCCTCTCTGGGCTGTGCTTCGTCCTCTGTAAAACAAGAGATACAGGTTTTGAGTATCCCTTATTCAAAATGCCTGAGACCAGAGCGTTTTGGATTTGGGATTTGTTTAGATTTTGGAACTTTTGCAGTGTGCCTACCTGTTCAGCATTCGCAATCCCCAAATCCAAAATGCTCTCGTGACCATTTCCTGTGAGTGTCATGTCGGTTCTCAGAAATTCTCAAGTTTTAGTGTTTTGGATTTGGGATTTTCAGATTAGGGATGCTCAACCTATGGTAGTATCTGCACCAAGGCAAATAACCTGTGTGCATGAGAGGCCTGCATAAACCAGGTAAAGGTTGGAGTTGAAGCCTTTTCTTAATAAACAGTGTAGCCCCACACCAGGGGTTGAACCTCTCTGGCCCCTAGCCATCCTCCCTGTGAATGCCTTCCAGCCCCGACCATCTGTGACTCCACGTCTTGGTCCACAGGAGGGGAACACAAGGAGGACTCGGGTTGGAGTTTGTTGGATGCTCGGCGGGAAAGTGGCTCAGGGGCTTCCACGGACACCCTCTCACCAGCCAGCCTGCCCTGGCCGCCGGGGAGCTCTCAGCTGGGCAGAGCAGGCAACAGCGCCCAGGGCCCACGCTCCACCTCCGTGTCAGCTCTTCCCGCCTCGGACTCCCCCACCACCAGCTTCAGTGAGGGCCTCTCGGACACCTGTATCCCCCTGCACGCCAGCGGCCAGCTGACCCCCTGGGCCCTGCACAGCTTCATCACCTCGCCCACCACACCCCAGCTGCGACGGCACACCAAGCTGAAGCCACCACGGACGCCCCCGCCACCCAGCCGCAAGGTCTTCCAGCTGCTGCCGAGCTTCCCCACTCTCACCCGGAGCAAGTCCCACGAGTCTCAGCTGGGGAACCGCATTGACGAGGTCTCCTCAATGAGGTGAGTGCTCCCCTGGCAGCCACCAAAAGTGCCTTCTGTGGTTTTCTCATTATAAAGATACATAGAAGGACAAATAAAATCAACCCCTATAGAAGTGTATAAAGTCAAAAGCAAAAGGTGCCCCCATCTTTTAGTGTATTCCTCAGACTACTTTAGCGGTGTGGGCTGCATTCTCCTAGATTCGGTTCTCTATGTACACGTGCGCATGACGTGATGCCATGTATGGGTCAGGGTAGGCTGGTTACACGGAAATACCAAGCATCCCCAAATCACCAGGTTTTTTTTTTTTTTTGAGACAGCATCTTACTCTGTCACCCAGACTAGCATGCAGTGGCGAGATCTGGGCTCATTGCAACCTCTGCCTCTTGGGTTCAAGTGATTCTCCTGCCTCAGCCTCCCGAGTAGCTGGGATTGCAGGCACATGCCACCATGCCCGGCTAACTTTTTGTATTTTTAGTAGAGATAGGGTTTCACCATATTAGCCAGGATGGTCTCAATCTCCTGACCTCGTGATCCGCCCACCTTGGCCTCCCGAAGTGCTGGGATTACAGGCGGGGGCTGTCGCACCCGCCCAATCACCAGGTCTTAAAAGATCAGAGATTTGTTTCTTGCTCATGCCACCTTGTCCATCATGGGTAAGCCTCCTTCTGGGCCTGGAATGATAGCACCGACATTGCCTGAGCACCGCTGGCCACGGGGGTGAGGGAAAGTGAGTTCCAGGTGTCACACCCTGGCAGTGGAGTACTCTACACTCACCATTCATGGTGCAGCCTGAACAGGGGAGTGAAGCAGTGCTGTTTGCCCACACGCCCAGGACGGGGAGAGCTGGAATATTTGGCTGAAACCACTAGTGACTGTCAGCTACCGCACCATCTACTCTGTCCCGCGACTTATTTTTTCAGCTTCCCTGGGTATCTCTGAGAGCATCACGTCAGTACGTCTTGAAATATTTTATTCTTTCATTTATTTTTTGACTTAAAACATTTTCCATCTATGTGTTTTGCACAAGTGAGACAGACACACAGCCCACAGGATAGCAGCTCTTTGACTCCTTGGGGCACACGGTGAAAACTCTACCCCACGTTTTTTTTTTTTTTTTTTTCCTTTTTTTTTTTTTTTGACAGGGTCTTGCCATGTCACCCAGACTGGAATGCAGGAGCGACTTCTCTGACCCATCCAAATGCAGGTGAACAAAGGACATGATCACAGTGCAATGCCTTTATAAGAGGAATTTTTATTGTTAGTTATTTACCTCAATAGTTTCAGAAAGAGGAACAGATTTTGATTGGCAGTTACCCCCCCCATTTTTATTCAGTCACGTGGTTCCCCTTTCAGGAGCCATCAGACTAGCAGTTTTGTGTATGTCTATAATTATTCAAACCCCACTTTTTTTGACTTGTTCATAGGATTCCATTGTATAGTTTATCTATCTTGTCCCTTCTTGGTGGACATTAGATCGTTGTCCTTTTTATTACAAAGATTGCCTTGTCAGTATGCTCTTGTGGGCAGCACAGAAAGAAAGGGAGTGTTTTCCTTGGATGCCTCTTACCATCCTGTACCCCTGAGGATTGTGGGACACCTAGTTTCTCTCCTCAGCATGGGGCACCCCTTTTCTACACTTGATCTTATCCAAAAGGCCAAGAAATGATAAGGGCACCCCTTTTCTGGGGGTTTCCTTGGGCCCTGGCGTGTCTTGGGCCTTGCAGTCGTCTTTGGAACGGGCCTGATCCCCTCTGCCAGTGCCTGCTGTTCAGGTCCTCTATGGGATGGAGCCTGGACAGAACCGATGGTTTTGAGTGCTCCGCCCAAGGAGGAGAGATCTGGGTGTCACCCACCCTGCTGCTCCCATCCAGGCTGACCTGCTGGAGCCTGGGTCCCACCCAGAAGGGGCTACAGAATGCAGTGATCATGGCCACACGAACATGGGTCAGTCGGAGGAGGCCTCACAGTGGGCTCAACCCAGTCCCTCTGTTTCTGTCTTCTCCCAAGAAGAGCATTAGGAAAGCTCTGGTCTCATTCCTATGCTGGAAAGTGTCAGGCACAGAACCTCAGGCAGGTGACACAACTAGCCTCAAACTCCAGCCAGTGACTGAATCTCAGACTCTGGGATTCTGAGTCCAGTCCCTGCAGAGCCACCAGAACCAGCACTGACGTGACACTCAGGCCACCTTGCTGTTCTGGTGACTTCTGAGGACAGGCTGAATGCTCTGCTTCTGCCAGCTCCATGTGTTCTCTGGGTCAGCGGCAGCCCCTGGGGGAGGCTCCTTGGGGTACGCAGGGTATGTGGGGGAGGCTCAGGGTGTGTCCCTGCCTGACTCTCCTTTCAGGGGCTACCTCTGCCCTGCATGGCTGTTATCTCTGCCCTCCTGTCCAGCCACACCCTCGCCAGCTGATAGTTCTTTTTTTTTTCTTTCTGAGAAGACATCTCACTCTGCTGCCCAGGCTGGAGTGCAGTGGCGCAATCTTGGCTCACTGCAACCTCTGCCTCCCGGGTTTGAGCCTTTCTCCTGCCTCAGCCTCCCAAGTAGCTGGGATTACAGGCATGCATGCACCACCACACCTGGCTAATTTTTGTATTTTTAGTAGAGATGGGGTTTCATCACGTTGGCCAGGCTGGTCTCAAACTCCTGATCTAGGTGATCCACTCACGTCGACCTCCCAAAGTGCTGGGATTATAGGCATGATTCTCTGGGACCGATCTCTCCAGCTGACTGACCCTTTTTGTTGCCTGGCTCTGGGCCGGGCTCTCCCACTGTCAGCCTGCCTCCAGCACACCCTGCCATGGAGGTTGGTTATGTGGTACTTGGCCTTAAGTAACCAGCACTTCATGACATAGTGAGCCTCCTGCGGCTCAGTTTCCTTGGCTATGAAATGGGCGGAACTCTAATTCCCATGCTTGGTTGCTGGCAAGGCTTGCTTGCGTAAGCTGATGTATTAAAGTGCACAGCACTGAGTTTTGATGTCCCCTATGGAGGCCTGGGGATAGCCCTTTCCATTGAGGAAATGTCCCCACAGAGATTGCAGGGGTTCCCACAGTCATTCAGCCAGGCTGGCCCCAAGCCAGGCCTCAGAGTCCTGCGTCCCAGCCTCTTGCCTGCTCCTGCCCAAATGTAATGTTCTAGGAACGCGCCGAGCTAGCATGGTGACGTAATCTCCCTCTCTGCTTTTTGTCTCCTCCAGGTTTGGTAAGAGAGATTCATTTCCATCCCCTCTGCCACCCGGGAGTCGTGTGTGCATTGCTGTCCTCATCGGGGGTGGACCTCTTTGACCCCCTTCTTAGCCCGTTCAGCCTCTTCATAGTCCAGAAGCACAGGTGCTGGTGACCGCCTCAGGAAATAGCCCTAAGACAGGTGGCCTTAAAGTGACCGGCTGGCTTTAGCCCAGCTGGCAGCTGCTCTCCAAGAAGCAGAGAACTTGAGCGCATCTCCGCCCACGGGCAGCCCCATGAAGCGCCCTGTCCACCTTGCCTTTCCCCATGGGGACTCTCCAGCAAGGACTCTGGCCTGCTGGGCTGTCATGGTAAAGCAGCACCCCGGGAAGGTGATGCCATCTGCCTGGATTCACTGGACTTTAGCTGTCCCCAGAACCCCACCTGATGTCTTGGGACCCCACTCTTCAGGAGAGGGATCTTCTTGGAGGCAGAAATGCAGCGCAGCTCCTAATGAGGCCCCGAGAGATGAGAGGCGCAGATGCCTCTTTGGGAGGGGAGGATACCTGGGCAATCCTTGACCCCCTTTCCCACCCCAACCTCCAGGTTGGGAGCATGTTCCTGTGCGTGGCTGAGCTGTGGGGCTTCACTCATGAGTCAGAGTGGAGGGAGACAGCTGTGCCTCTGGAGTCTGCTTTTAATTGTCTGGAAATGCAGAGATGTCTGGTTTTTGCCTGAACAAAATGGGAGTTTATTTTTGTACTATCCCAAGCTGGCTAAGGAGAGTCATGTAGCTGTGGGCCTGGTCTTGGGGATGAGGACGGGTCAAGCAGGCAGAGACTATGCCAACGTGGAGCTGGCTGCAGGAACCCCAGGGAGGGACCAGGGGGCAAGGAGAGGAGCTACACTTCCCTCCCCCAGTGCTCAGGCAGAAACTCCCAGGGCCCTTCACAGAACCTTGGAGGAACATTCAACACCCCCATCTCTAGGAAGCCCCAGCCCTGTCATCCTCTACTTGCCATGGCAATGTGGGGACTGGAGCAGTGAGATTGTCAGGCCTTCAGGGCCAGTGTCTCCACACAGGTCAGACAGAGGTAGTGCCTGGCACATACACCACCTTACTGCCCATGCCCACAGAAGATCGTAGGTGGCTTTTGGGGCTAGTTGGTTGAAGTTCCATTGACAGCTAACCCCTTGAGCTCCNGCTTCACTCATGAGTCAGAGTGGAGGGAGACAGCTGTGCCTCTGGAGTCTGCTTTTAATTGTCTGGAAATGCAGAGATGTCTGGTTTTTGCCTGAGCAAAATAGGAGTTTATTTTTGTACTATCCCAAGCTGGCTAAGGAGAGTCATGTAGCTGCGGGCGTGGTCTTGGGGATGAGGAGGGGTCAAGCAGGCAGGGACTATGCCAACGTGGAGCTGGCTGCAGGAACCCCAGGGAGGGACCAGGGGGCAAGGAGAGGAGCTACACTTCCCTCCCCCAGTGCTCAGGCAGGAACTCCCAGGGCCCTTCACAGAACCTTGGAGGAACATTCAACACCCCCATCTCTAGGAAGTCCCAGCCCTGTCATCCTCTACTTGCCATGGCAATGTGGGGACTCGAGCAGTGAGATTGTTAGGCCTTCAGGGCCAGTGTCTCCACACAGGTCAGACAGAGGTAGTGCCTGGCACATACACCACCTCACTGCCCATGCCCACAGAAGATCGTAGGTGGCTTTTCAGGCTAGCTGGTTGAAGTTCCATCTTTCTATAGGCTGACAGCTAACCCCTTGAGCTCCATGTGTTTTTTGGTTTTGTTTTTTTCTTTTGAGATGGAATCTCATTCTGTCACCCAGGCTGAAGTGCAGTGGCACGATCTGAGCTCACTGCAGCCTCTGCCTCCCAGGTTCAAGTGATTCTCCTGCCTCAGCCTCCCTAGTAGCTGGAATTAAAAGTAGCTGCCACAGCTGGCTAATTTTTGTAGTTTTAGTAGAGTCTGGGTTTCACCATGCTTTCCAGGCTGATCTCAAACTCCTGATCTCAGGTGATCCGCCTGCCTTGGCCTCCCAAAGTGCTGGGATTGCAGGTGTGAACCACTGCTCCGGTCATCCCTGCGTGTTTTGGTGGCCTTGGCTGCTGCTGGGTGGGGTGGGCCCCAGGAGGAAGTTGGGACAAGTCAACCTTATGTCAGAGGTGCCAGGGAGAGCTAGAGGTAAGAAAGATTGCTCCTATCCAGCTGTCCTTGATGTGGGAGGACTCAGCCCATCCAGCACACCCTTTCATGGAGGTTTGCTATGTGATACTTGGCCTTAAGTGAACCAGCATTTCATGAGTCCAGCTGTGTGTTAGACCGGCACTTGGGATTGAGGGGGGCAGTGGTCACCCTCGGGGGAACCTTCTGTCTCAGAGGACATGAGATGGCCACATGCGAGCACTGCGTGCCTGACCTTTCTGGGTCCCAGGTCACCTAGACCTTCCTTCCAGAGAAAAGTGTACAGCATTCTACTAAGGGTTCCTGGAGCCCTGAAGCCCACTCATGAACTGGCTCTGGGAGCCCATGGCGCTGAGTATGGGGGCGTGAGTTGAACGTGGGGGCTGCAGGTGGGTGGGGAGAGTGCTTCCAGCTGCTTGTCTGCCACGCTAGGGTTGCCTTTTCTGATGGGGAGGCCCAGGTTGGGAGAGGGAGCGCCTACCAGGAGGGCCAGCAGGGTGGCACCTCAAAGTGGATGCCCATTCTCTCAGCAGAGAAGGAGGGTGTCCGAGACATCCCCAGAGGCTCAGGGTCCTGCCTGGGTGGGGCTGGCCCATGGGAGAATGTGATAAAGCTGGGCAGATAGAGTGTGGGTGGGGTCTTGGGGATGAGCACCCCTCCTCTCAGCACCCTCCTCATCCCCAAAACCCCACCACACTCTGTCTGCCCAGACCTGGCAGTGGCCTCTCCCAGAGGAATATCTTCCAGGGACTTCTGCCTGGAAAGGCACTGGACCAGCTGACTAGCCCCAGCCCTCCACCTGAGGTCAACAGCTTCAGCCTTTTACCAAGAAGTACCCAGAATTGAGCCCCTGCACCCGGTGGCCTGTGGTGTGTCGGGGAGAGGTGGCGAGAGGTTGGGCTGTGTGGAATCTTCTGGCCTCACCCTGGCTTTGCTTTCTGCCTCTCCAGCCTGCCTTGCTCCTCAGCTGGAAACATCACAGGGGCAGCAGACTGAGCTGTCCACAGAGGCCAGGAGCAATCGAGGCGAGGGGAACCACGCCACGCCACTGGTCTAGCCTGGGCTGCTCCTGTGTTGGTGGACATAGGTCACAGGGAAAGATGCTTACGTGATAAGCCACCACGCCCGCCCCTTGCAGCCTGTGATTTCTGAACTAGGAGGTCACAGGCACAAGCGGTTGCCTGTGGAGTTCCTCAACCTACCCTTCGGGCCTCTCTGCCCACAGATCTCCCGCATGGATCCCCACAGATGGTACGGAGGGATATCGGGCTCTCAGTGACGCACAGGTAGGCACAGCAGGCCTGGTGGGGGGCAGGGGGGAAGTTGGGCACAGAGCTGGGCTGGGAGTTCTGGTCCATGTTTCTCAGTGAGCTCTTTGCCTCTGATACCTGTCCGTCATCTCTGCGGGGCGTGGCCCTGCACTCACCTGAGCCCTCGCCTTGCCAGGATGGACACATGGACTTGCAGCTCCCTCACCTGCACCTCCCCGGGTCTCTTCCTCACTCTGCTAGGGAAAGCACTTTCCCCCTTTCTCAGGACACGGGTCCCGGGAGAAATAGGGTCAGGGCCATGGGAAGGAGTCACAGGAGCTTCCCCTGCATCCAGTGCGATGTCATGTGTGTCCTGAAACTCACACGGCAGATCCCCTGTGGAGCTTGTTGAAAATCCAGATTCCCGGGCCCCACCCCTAAGCTTCTCGATCCCCTCGCCCCCAGTGTTGACGTGAGAAGTAATTAAAACCCAGTGAGGGAGACAGCACGTGTGCACGTGTGAGCCTACACAGACCTGGTTGCATCTCAGGGAGGCCGGATCGCGACTCCTTAAAAGGCACTCCATGCAGGTGGGCGTCCCTGGCCACCAGAAGCTCCCATCTTTGTTGGGTGGAGAAAGTAACATTTATGGATCTCTGCTACATTCCATTTACATGGTGTATCTGTGATCTTCCCCAAATCCTGTGAGGCTTAGGGTTGACCCTATTTGCAGAGGTGTCTGAGGCATCTTACAGCCGGTAGTAGGCTGAAGGCAAAATTCAAACCCAGTTGTTTGCCCCCAGAGCCTGTTCTCTTTCTCTTGTGCTCAAGGCCTTCTTTGGCCTCTGCTGGACCAGTGGAATCTCTTAGAGAAGCTCTATAACTGAGTTCAGAGAGCTGGGATCCAGACCCTGGCATCCCAACTGTGTGACCTTGGGAACATCACCTGACCTCTCTGAGCTGGTTTCCTTGCCTGTGCACAGGGACCCTGGACTTGGCTCACTCCCTGGCATGGGCATAAGAATGAAATGAGCTTGTGTTGGTGGGTGCGTTACGAACTGCTTCCCAAATACTGTTGGCATTCATTCTGTTGTTACTGTGATATACAATATGTTAAAAAAAATTCTATTTTTCCAAAAATAAGAGCTCTTTCTGCTCTTAGGCCTTCCCACCCTTTGGACTAGCCTTGCCCTTTTTTTCTGGAGGACACCACCCACCCAGCCCCTATCCTTCTTCGAATCTATCTTTGGTGGTTTTTTTAATGTTCTACATTTTGGACTGAAAATACATTGAAACATCAATGGAAAACTCCCCTTTTGTTCTGGTCCCCACCTCCTCAATCCCCCCTGTAAAGAACTCTTAGCTGTGTGTTATGTAGTCTTCTAGAGATATCTTATACAAACAAATATGTGTATATGTTTTCTCCTATCTGTCTGTCTGTCTGTGTTATTTATTTATTTTTGAGATGGAGTCTCACTCTGTCACCAGGCTGGAGTGCACTGGAGCAATCTCGGCTCACTGCAACCTCCGCCTCCTGGGTTCAAGCAATTCTGCTGCCTCAGCCTCCTGAGTAGCTGGAATTACAATAGCGTGCCACCATGCCCAGCTAATTTTTGTATTTTTAGTAGAGACGGGGTTTCACTATGTTGGCCAGGATGGTCTTAGTCTCTTGACCTCATGATCCACCCGCCTCGGCCTCCCAAAGTGCTGGGATTATAGGTGTTCTCCTTTATTTTGTACTCAACTACTGCATATGTTATATACAATCCTATACTTTGCTTTTTCAAAAATGGAGACACAGTTTATATAGAGCAAAATGCACAAGTGTGTGTATGTATTTGTGCACACACACACACACCTGTGTACACCATCCAGATGAAGGTGGAGAACATTCCAGCACTCGAGGAAGTTACCTTGAGTTCTTCCTTGTCAGTGCTGCTACCACCCAGCGGTTACTATTGACCTCTAGCGTCGTAGCTTAGTTTTTTCCCACTTGAACTGCCTGTGAATGGGATCATATCCTATTGTACCTTACTTTTTTAACTGGACAATATGACTTGGAGGTCATTCCATATTTGCACAGAAACAGCTTCCTTGTTTTAGTTTCCTGCTGCATAGAGTTCATTGGATGGAAAGGCCATACTTTAGTCAGCCCCTCTCAATGGACGTGTAGGTCATTTCCAGCCTTTACGCCGCTTACGTGCTACAGGCATACCTTGTCCATATACGCTTCGACACTTGTGGGCCTATGTGTTGAGTAAATTCCTAAGAATTCCCAAGAACTGTTGGGTCAAAGGGTATGCACACTTGGACTCTTGATTGCTGCTGCCGAATGGGTACTCTCAGATGACCACACCAAATTCAGTATGTTGACAATGATGACTTTGCGTCTGGGAAATCTCCATGGCTCCTGGGTGTCTCTGTCCTCCCTGGGAGGGAGAGGGCGCATGGGGCTCTGGGATGGAGCCAAGACTCCCAGTTTCCCTGGAACCCCATGGGAACCCTTCTTGGCTAGGTCTTGTCCTCCCAGCTGGTGCGAGCATGTGCCCGTGTCCGCCCCTGCAGGTTCTCCACCAAGTCCTGGCTGTCGCAGGTCTGCCACGTGTGCCAGAAGAGCATGATATTTGGAGTGAAGTGCAAGCATTGCAGGTGATGGGCAGACAGGTGGGGGTGCGGGGAGCAAGTCAGAGTTCAAACGCATTTCCCTACACTCGCTATTCATAGTCCTATTCAGCTCACTAGGGAATGATCAGGCTTTAATTTCAGGGAAATTAAGCAAGTTACTCCTGGGAGAAGGGAATACTTGAGGTGGGCTTTGAAGAACGAATAGAAGTTTACAAGGTCGACCAAGGGGAAGAGAGAATTCCAGGCCACGGGAGCGTCTTGTACTAAGGCCCGGAGGAATGTGAGGACTGTTCTGGGACCTGTAAGGAGCTCTGAAGTTTAGCCTTACATTTTATACCCTCGAGAGGTGGGAGACAGGTGATGGTTAAAAACAGGGAGTTAGCTTGCAGAAGGAGAGTGAGCAGAGGTAGGTCCTATACAAGTCCAGCTTTATTTTCTCATGCTTTGCGGTTTCTGGTGGGAAGGAAGGGCAAGGATAGGGAACAGTGTGGGGTGAGCACAGTGTGTCCTCTGCTGTCCGGCTGCCCTCACCTGATACAGGGTGGTGTTGGGGAGTCAGCCCAGCCCACTCTGCCCCTGGATTGCTGTGTGACCTGGGGCAAGACGCTTGCCCTTTCTGGGCCTAATTTTGGATATCTCCATCAGAGCCGTGGGGATAGCTCTGAGAAGCTGAGCTAGCATGTGGGATTGCATCTGGGCTCCAGTCGGACTGCAGGTGGTGGGTCTTATGCATATCAGTTGGACCTGTTACCTTCCCAGTAACTCTCCTGTTCTAGGGAGATGCTGGGTTTTCTCTCTGGTCTGGGTCTCCTGTGGCTCCTGCCACTTGGTTTTACATTAGGGATCTCCAGCTCCCATTCAAATAATGTCTTTCCTGCGGAGAGTACAGGATGACCTCTGAGCCCAAGGCTGTCCTGTGATGCAGTATGAGGTGGACAGGACACCCCCAGCCCATTAGTGAGAAAGCTAAGACTCAGTGCATCAGACAGGACCACCTGGTACTGACCCTCAGACCGCATGGTCCATTGCACAAATGTAGCAGGAGGGGCTGCCCTTTGGGTCCCTGGGATCCTTTGGTAAAGCAAACATTCTTGGTCCAATTCATCTTTTTTTTTTTGAAATGGAATCTCGCTCTGTCATCCAGGCTGGAGGTGCAGTGGCGTAATCTTGGCTCACTGCAACTTCCGCCTCCCAGGTTCAAGCGATTCTGCTGCCTCAGCCTCCTGAGTAGCTGGAATTACAAGAGTGTGCCACCATACTCAGCTAATTTTTGTATTTTTAGTAGAGGTGGAGTTTCACCATGTTGATCAGGCTGGTCTTGAACTCCTGACCTTGTGATCCACCTGCCTCAGCCTCTGAAAGTGCTGGGATTACAAGTGTGAGCCACCACACCAATTCTTTCTTTTTTTTTTTTTTTTTTTTTTTTTTGCAAGTTCAAGTTTGTCTTGAGCTTTTTCAATATGGGTAGAAGGTCTCCTTTTCTTTACAAAAGGCAAATAGATAGGTGACCTGGGCAGGTCAAAGTGGGCACCATGAGACCCGCTTTGCCGTGAGGATGGGTAGATGGCAGCAGAACATGGTAAATGCTCAGCATAGCAGCTCAGTGTAGCAGCTGCTATTACTATTAATATCACAGTGTTCTCTACTTTCGAGCTAACATTTGTTGAAAAGTTTGTGGAAATGGAGACAGTCCTGGGTGAATGCTACACAGAGCTTCCCCTGTGTGCCCGAGCCCCCCACGTGGTGCCCTGCACCCTAACCTCCTCTTCTTTACCAGGTTGAAGTGTCACAACAAATGCACCAAAGAAGCTCCTGCCTGTAGAATATCCTTCCTGCCACGTGAGTTTGCTGCCTTCCTCTCCTCTGCCTTCTGGATTTGGGGTGAATCTTTCTTTAGCTTGACCTGGTGACGGGTTTTCCCTCTCTTCAAACAGTAACTCGGCTTCGGAGGACAGAATCTGTCCCCTCGGACATCAACAACCCGGTGGACAGAGCAGCCGAACCCCACTTTGGAACCCTCCCCAAAGCACTGACAAAGAAGGTACGCTGGGTAATGCTGGGGAGGACCCCCTTCGCCACTGGCCTTCCTTCCTGTAAAGTGCCTCTGCCTCAGAGGCTCAGTGGGGAAGTGGGACGTGACACCCCAGTCCCAGATTCATAGCCAGAGGGTGGCCTTGGGGATCATATCTTGAGCCATCAGGAGGCTTCCGTTTTCTATCAAGTTGTGGTGCAGCCGTGATTCCCAGCCCCTTCTCGTTTGAGCTAATACATCCTGTGTGCTTAGTGTGTACCGGGAGCTTCTTCCCTTGCTGTTTTGTTTGAGCCCCACAGTAGTTGTGAAGGGCACATGCTGATCCATTTCACAGATGAGTAAATAGCACAGCATTCCCCGAGAGCAAGACACAAACCTAGAGTGGGAGCCTTGGCAGCCGCCCAGCCCGAAAACCTGGGGCTCTTAGTGACAGTGCGGCAGGTATACCGCCAGTTGTTCATTAAAGTGATTGCCGTGGCCACCACTGAACAAGGCTCCGCTGCTCTCACAGGAATGCACCCAAAAGTAATACCAAGAGTGCGTTTCCCTCCATAGCTACGTCAGGCTTCTCTGCTGAGGCAGACCGGTGTCCTCTGCAGCTAGACAGTGTCCACAAAGCCTGTGTCCCCCAGAAGGGTTGGCCTACCTGTCATGGGCCTCTATGCACGGGTGTCCCTTGCGTCTGGGAGGTGCCAGTGCTGATGGCTTCTGACAGCAGCTCCCATCCTGGCTGGCTGCAGCCTGCTGTGGGTTTGGCTGTGGTGTTTTTTTAGACAGAGTTTCACTCATTGCACTGGCTGGAGTGCAGTGGCGTGATCTCAGCTCACTGCAACCTCCACCTCCCGGGTTCAAGCAATTCTCCTGCCTCAGCCTCCCGAGTAGCTGAGATTACAGGCATGCACCACCATGCCTGGCTAATTTTTTTTTGTATTTTTAGTAGAGATGGGGTTTCTCCATGTTGGTCATGTTGGTCTCGAACTCCCGACCTCAAGTGATCCACCCGCTTCAGCCTCCCAAAGTGCTGGGATTACAGGTGTGAGCAGTGTGCCCACCTTGGCTGTGTATTTTTAAGTGTGTTTTACCTGCAGCCCCAGATCAGGGGCTTAGCGTGTGCCTCCCTGATGAGGAACGTGTACCCAGCTACTCTGTGGCTATGGCTGGCCTTCAGTGGGTCTGGCCAGGAGAGAGAGACAAGTGTTATGGCCAATTCACACTGGGGACCCTGAAGGTACAGCTTCAGGGGCTGCTCTTGGAGGGGCCAGAGCCACCTCTTATAGTCAAACAAGAAGGCCAGCTGCCCTAGGCCTGACAGTCTCCACCAGCCTGTGCCTGTCCTCTCTCCTGCCTCTCGTTTCCCTGTGGTGGTGGCTTTCCACCCGGAATGGGGAGGCAGTGGGGAAAGATGATAGGGTCCTTTCTTACTCTGTTCAGGCTACCATAACAAAATATCCTAGACCGGGTGGCTTAAAAGCAACAGAGCTTTGTTTTTCCCGGTTCTGGAGGCTGGGAAGTTCAAGATCAAGGTGCCAGCAGACTTGATGGCTTGGAAAGGCCCACCTTCTCACACATGTCACTCATGCCGCATCCCCCCGGTGGTGGAGGGGTCCAGCAAGCTCCCTCAGGCCCTTTCATAAGGGCACCGGTCCCCATTCCTGAGGGCTCTGCCCTGATGACCCAGTTACCCAGCTCCCAGTACCACCTCCTTGGGCGCTAGGGTTTCAGCCTGTGAGCGGTGGGGGTGCACAGTCATTCAGACCACAGCAGCTGCCCAGCCCTGGCTCTGAGTCCCAGCTCCTCTCCTGCTTCCATCCCTGGAGTGAGCCACTTGACCTCTCTGAGCCTCACTTTCTGCTTTGTAAGTTGGGGTTACTAATGCCTCATTCACAGGTGTTTGAAGGGTGAAGAGAAAATGTTCATGAACTTGTAGGGAGCAGTACCATACCATCCACTAGTTATTATTTTCCAGCCCATCACAGACTGGATCGGCTCCTCAGCAGCAACACAGCGCCCCCCACCCCCATTGCCAACAACACCATCATTGCCCCTACCTCTCCTCTCCAGCTACGCCAAGCACATCCCCCATCCCCGTGGGGCCTGCATGACCCCCTGTCCTGTCATGTTCACCCCTGCATCTCCACCCACCTGGACAACCCCCTTCAGCCCTCCTCACAGCTCAAGACTCTCTCTCTGTCCCACCTCCCCCATGAGCCCCTCCTGTGTGCACCTGCTCAGCTTCTAAGCCCATATGGTGGTGGTGCAAAGGCCTCTCATCTCTGAGAGCAGTGGCCCTCCAGGATCCCATTTAATGTCACTATGATGACATGAGCTAACCGTTACTGAGTTCTCACTAGAGGCCACACATGGTGCTGAGAGGTCAGATCCTAACGCAGAATCCCCCTGGAGCCCTCTCTCTGTTGGTCCTTTGGCCTTGCTGGGACTCAGACTTCTGGGTGGTCCTAGCTAGCTGGTCTGCAAAAGAATGTGGAACAAGCATGTATGAGTCACCTGCTGTGTACCACACACTCCCACCTTTGCGATGCTACTGATCTGTGCAGTAACCCTTTGGCAGAGGTGTTGATGTTTTCATTTTGTGGTTGAAGAAATAGAAGCTCAGAGAGGCGGAGGAAGTTGCCTGCAGTCACCCAGCTAAGCGGTGCTGGAAGCTGCCTGAGAATTCCAGTCTGTCTGTCTCCAAGCTCGGTGCTCTTTCTTTTTGGCCACAGAGAGAAGCTGGAGCTTCAGCCTCTCTCCCTGTCCCCCACTTTCTCCCTTTACCCTGCCTTTTCCCATTTCTGGTGCAGCAGCCCTCCCTGCCCCAGGGCTCTCTGGCACCTGCTCTCACAGGCTCTTGCTTGGAGCTGCGAGATACTGGTGCCATTCTCAGAGGTCTGCTGTGTGCTGTGGCTGGGGAGCCATGGCCAGAAGGCATCCCAGAGCCAGGCTCCTGCCACGCCCATCTCCCATGACCCTGGGCAAAGCTCTTGGCTTCCTTGGGCCTGGCTCCCCTGAGCTCTGCAGTGGGGCCATGGTGGCATCTGGTGTGAGTTGACACCAGAATCAGTACCGCCCAAACTTCATCAAGCTGCAGACCATCTTTATGGTTTCTGTCTTAACCAGGTACCACCAGGGCTAATATTTACTTATAAGACTCATTTTATGTAATCATCACTATCATAATTGGAAAAACCATGATCATTCCAGATAGAAGCTAATCATTAAAGCAAGCACAGTTAAAACCAAAGTTATTAAGCTTCATCTTGATATCATACTTGCTTAAGGCTTGGAGCTTGAAGCTCACTCTGTTGAATGGGTGATGAGCTGGTGTTGTAGAGGTGTTAAAAGACATAGCAGCTCAGGCTGAGGCCTTCTCTCAGGCAGAACAAGACAGAGAACAAAGCATCCTCCTTCCTGGCTCAGCATCCTCTGTGTTGTGTCTGAGGGCCCCCTAAAAGCGTCTCACTGGCCACCAAACCTGTGTTTCCCATGGCAGGCACCAGTGGATGCAGTCCATTAGCAGGGGGAACCATGCTTGCTTTGAGTGTGGAAGGGATGACATTAACATTTAAGTTGGGACAACATGAGTGAACCAGGCCTGTCCTGACAAACCAACTCCTGTGGTCATCTTCTAGAAAGTTCTTTCCAGCTCCAGAATTCTCACCCCTCCAAAATGGCAGACCGCACCAGCCCAAGCCATCACCTCTTTCAGGGTTTTGTAGTTTGACTCTAAGACTTGCCAGTGCCTTTGATTCAGCCAGGTTTCCAAAGAAAAGGACTGTACGCTTCTCACTCATCATTGGCCTCCCTGCTTCTAGCAGAGTGCCTGGTGCTAGCAGACAGGACATAACGTTTATCAGAACCTGAACTTAATTCATTATAAAACCCCACTGTGTGCCCGGCTCAGAGCCAGGCACTGGGTGTGTGGCGAGCGCCCTGGCCTCCTGGAACACACAAGGCAGTGGGGGAGACTTTGGTGAGGAAGGCGCCCATGGATGTCCGCGGTAGACACAGTGCCTGGATGAGAAACTGCTGGGCACTGTGCCAGGATGGAGAGGAGGAGCATGGTCCCAGCCAGGGTGCAGGAAAGGCTTCTGGGAAGAGAGTGTGCTTGGGCTGAAAACAAAGATGAGCAGGAGCCCCCTGGGGAGTGGGCCCTGAGGCGAGGGCCTCTGTGTGCTGCCCTTTCTCAATTAGATGCATAAAACGTCAGACCCTGAGGATTCCCTGGGCTGACCGCTTCCTTTCCAGATGGAGGGGAAAGCGGGGAGGCAGGTGCGGCAGCGACAGCCCTGCCACTCCCAACGTCTCTGGTCCTGCAGGAGCACCCTCCGGCCATGAATCACCTGGACTCCAGCAGCAACCCTTCCTCCACCACCTCCTCCACACCCTCCTCGCCAGCGCCCTTCCCGACATCATCCAACCCATCCAGTGCCACCACGCCCCCCAACCCCTCACCTGGCCAGCGGGACAGCAGGTTCAACTTCCCAGGTACCAAATCTCCAGGCTTTTCTGGCTTCTTAGGGGCGTGGTCAGATCCCCTTCTCAGCAGACCCAAGGTCTGCAGGTTCAAGGTCCGACATTGGCCAGACGTTTATGGAGCGCTTGCCAGGCGCTCCAAGCATAATAGCTCTGAGGTTGATGCTGTTGATTTAGAGATGGGAACAGTGAGGTTCAGAGAGAGGGAGGGGCTTGCCATGAGTTGTACAGCCTGTAAGTGGCAGAGTAGAGATCAAACCCAAGTCTGTCTGACACAATAATCCCCCCGCTGCCCTCCTCTTCGTGGGGTGTCCTCTCCTGAGCAGTGCTCACTTTCTCGGGACTAGTTTCTGAGCTCCCAGGAGGCATGGGTGGCAACACAGGGAGCTAGAAGGCCTCAGAGAGGGACCCTGGGGCCCTGCTGCTTCCCACTCGTGATCTGGGTCAGTTCCTTCAGGGAGACCTCTTGTTCTTTTTCCATAAGATAGGAGACTGTGTAAAGTTGGAATTAGGTGGTTCCCGTTGTGTGGACGAGGACACAGAGTCCCACAGGAATTTAGAGCACAGTAGACGTGAGCCAGAGCTGACCTCCAGCTCCACCCCAGCAAGCTGCCTGGTGTCTGTGGGGAGGGGTCAGGATTCTAGCCTCTCCTGCCCTCAGCTGCTGGTTGGGCCTGGGGTGTCTGCCCCTCCAAGCAGCAGAGGGAAGCCCACCTGTCCAATTTGGGACTGAGCTGCTGCCTTGGCCTCTCTGGCAGCTCCTCAGGGTCAGTCTCAGCCTTCAGTTTACTGCAGTTTGCAGTCCCAGAGGAAGGAGCATGGCTGTGACACTCCTGTTTGCTCCAGACTCGGCCACCGGCTGTTTCCAGCTGGTAGAGTCTAGGCCAGACCCCTGTCTCTGGCCTCTGGAGCCCCAGGTCCATGAGGACAGTCACAGCTCTCCCTGTGCCAGGGGAGCCCCACCTGGAGGCATACCCAACCATCATGGGGCCAGGCAGCTTCTCCTGGGACTTCTTTTGGGGGATGGTGAAAGACCAAGCTCTTATAAGAATCCTTCTCTTTGCCTGTCCTTCACCTCAGTAAGCACGTGGCTGGATATCTCCTGACATTCACATGTCCTGGCACGCCCCTCCCCTCCCTGCCTTGAGCGATGGCTTCTTTGATTAACCGCCTCTCCCATTCTTCTCTGTCTTTATTATGCTCTGAAACTGTGCCTTTTGCTAAACCTCCCAGTTTGGGTTTTTGTAAAAGGAAGGGTGTGTTTGAAACATGGCAGCCGCAGAGAAAGTTCTTTTTGCACTATTAGCCAGACCCTTGCTGCTTTCCCTGATGTCCCCAGACTGGGCTTCATTGTCCCTTGCACAGAGGTTTCAGTCTTTCCAAGATCCCATCTCTTTGGTCATGGTGGCACCAACAGGTCAACCCTCCCCAACCCCACTGCCCGCTGCGCTGGCCCGGTGGTTCAGCTGGAGAAGGAATGTCTCCCATTGTCCCCTGCTCTGTGCTGCGCAGGGTTATTGCACTTGATCTTCAGGGGTGAACCTGGGAAAAGATGATAGTCACGTGCTGCTTCATGACGGTGAAACATTCTGAGAGATGCATTTGACAATTTCACTGTTAAATGAGCATCATAGAATGTGCTTATACAAACCCAGATGGTACAGTCTTCCACATGCCTAGGAGTGGCTGTAGCCTATTGTTTCTAGGCTGCAAACCTATGCAGCATGTGACTGTACTGAATATTATAGGCAATTGTAGCACAGTGCTAAATACTTCTGTATCTAAACATCTGAACACAGAAAAGCTACAGTAAAAATACAGCATAAAATATTTAAAATAGGGCTGGGCACAGTGGCTCATGCCTGTAATACCAGCACACTGGGGAGCCAAGGTAGGCAGATCACTTGAGGCCAGGAGTTCAAGACCAGCCTAGCCAACATGGCAAAACTCCATCTCTACTAAAAATATAAAAATTAGCCAGGTGTGGTAGCTCACACCTGAAGTCCCAGCTACTCAGGAGGCTGAGGCACGAGAAACGCTTGAACCCGGGAGGTGGAGGTTGCAGAGCTGAGATTACACCACTGTACTCAGGCCCGGGCGGCAGAGCAAGACTGTCTCTAACTAAATAAATAAAATGTTATTTGTTTGTAGGGGACTAGAAGCTGCTGTGGATGAGTCAGTGAGTGAATGATGTGTTTATAAAGTCGACAATAGTGTACAGGAATTCCTGGCATTTATTAACCTCCTCTCTCATTCTGGTCTGTCTTTATTATGCTCTGAAACTGTGCCTTTTGCTAAACCTCCCAGTTTGGGTTTTTGTAAAAGGATGGGTGTGTTTGAAACACGGCAGCCACAGAGAAAGTTCTTTGTGCACTATTAGCCAGACCCTTGCTGCTTTCCCTGATGTCCCCAGACTGGGCTTCATGTCCCCTGCACAGAGGCCTCACTCTCCAGGAATTCCTGTACGCTATTGTAGACTTTATAAACACAACATACTTAGGCTACATGAATTTATTTTAAAATATTTTTTTCAGTAATTAACTTTAGCTCACAACTTTTTTACATTATAATCTTAAAAAGCTTGTTTTTAACTCTTAGACTCTTGTAATAACACTTAGCTCAGAACGCAAAGACATTGTATAGCTGTACAAAAACATTTTACAGGTATTGATCGACTTACCACCTATGCAACTTACGACCATTCGACTTGACGACCACAATCGCTAGCCACGACTGCTCCGCATCTGGCAGCGCAAACGTTGCCCAGCTGGGTGTACGACAGTGCGGACCAGCTTCCGGCAGCACTACCATCTCTGCGTGCACCATTTCAACTGTACATATAGCCTACTCAACTTACGACCAAATCGTGTTACGACCGGTCTGCGGTCCTGACCGTGGTCATAAGTCGAGCACTAGCTGTACTTTGAATTTTTATAAGCTTTTCTCTGTCTTTAAAATTCGTATTATTTTTTTCCTTGGTAAGCTTTGTTGTTAACTAAGACACACCCCCTAGCCTCGGCCTGTGCAGCATCAGGCTCACCTGCATCACTGGCTTCCGCCACCGCGCCTTGTCCCACCCGTGTCATAGGTGGAGCTGGCATCTCCTGTGATAACAGCGCTGCCTTCTGGATACCTCCTGAGGGACCTGCCTGAGGCAACAGATAACTTTTTTTTTTTTTTTTCCCTAAGTAGAACAAGTATACTCTAAAATAATGATTAAAAGGCCAGGTGCAGTGGCTCACGCCTGTAATCTCAGCACTTTGGGAGGCTGAGGTGGGCAGATCACCTGAGATCAGGAGCTCTAGACCAGCCTGGCCAACATAGTGAAACCACGTCTCTACTAAAAAAACAAAAATTAGCCAGGCATGGTGGTGTGTGCCTATAATCCCAGCTACTCAGGAGGCTGAGGCAGGCGACTCGCTTGAACCCAGGAGGCGGAGGTTGCAGTAAACGGAGATCCTGCCATGTCACTCCAGCCTGGGTGACAGGGAGAGCCTCCATCTCAATCAATCAATCAATCAATCAATCAAATTAAAATAATGATTAAAAGTACAATAGAATAAACACATAAACCAGCAATATAGCTGTTTATTCTCATTATCAAGTCAGATGCTACTGCGCATCATTGTGCGTGTGCTGTCCTTTTACACAGCCTGTAGAGCCGTGGGTTATCTCCCACCAGCATCACCACAGACGTGAGGAATGCACAGCGCTGCCCTGTTCCCACAGCTACCACATCACTAGGCGAGAGGAATTTTCCCACTCCATTGTGATCAGGACCACCATCATGCACATGGTCCCTTGTTGACCAAAACAACGTTCTGTGGCACATGACTGTATTTACAACCCCATTTGACAGTGCTGGAGAGGTTAGCCACCTCCCTAAGGTCCCAGAGCCTAGTTATGTGGCAGAATTGAAGTTGCAACATGCTGTCAGCTTCCAGAACCCTGCTGCATCCCTCTCAGTTCCCTACATGAGAAAGAAATAATGTGGGAGGGAGAGGTAAGGCTGAGACACTCTGGAGGTACAGGCGGGGCTCGGGAGGAGGCCGTTATTCCACACATAGCACTGTTAAACTTTTCAGAAATACCGTTTCTCTCCCATTACATTTTGCCCTTCTGGGATCACATGGATTTCACAGAGCACTGGTCACCAGAGACGGGGTCTTGGAATGCCCGATCCTCCAATGCAAGCCCCTTTAGTCCTGCAGACTCATACCAGGGCCCATTTTCTTTCTCCCAGCTCCTTTCCTCCTTCCTGCATGGTTTGGCCTGTCCTTGCCGGGCCCATCTGGGGCAGGGCTGTCCCAGCCCAATAACAAGTCCCTGTCTCCCAAGCCGGTGTCTGCAATTCCGCTCCTCCCTCCTGCGCTGGCCGTTCTGTGTGTGTGACTCACCTCCTCTTCTGTTTAAAGCTGCCCACTTCATTCATCATAGACAGCAGTTCATCTTTCCAGGTGAGTCGTTTGCATGGTTCCATTAACTGCCCCTTGCTGTGACCCCTTCTGTCCAGCCCACCTGAGTACCTTTGGAAGTGCTTGAGTCTCCCTCCTCCTGTTCTGAGAGCTGGCTGCCCATGGAGGATGGGAAGGGGGCAGGGCAAGTGCCCTGGAGGTGGGCCTCTGACATGAGAAGTTCTTGCTGGGAGGCACCCTGGAATCCATCCCATCCAGCCCCTTGGCACAGAGACTGCAGGTGACTTCTTTCACAGTCACACTGCCAGGAGATGGCACAAGCAGGACCAGAACCTGGGTTTATGGAATGGGGGGAGGACTTTTTGCTATTGCCCGATGAGCATCTGTCACCATATCCTCCCTTGCACAATGATGGGAAACTACTGCCTTGTCTTACAGAAGTGGAAACCCATTTGGGAAGTTCTGCAGGCTTCACTTACTTAGTGGGTGTCACCTTTCTGTGCCTTACCACACAGTGCCATCTGCTGGCTGTTGCTGGAAATGCCTCCTTATTGCAGAAAGTTTAAAGGAAAAACCTTACAATAAGTCAATCCATTGAGTTCTTTCTGCAAAGATTGTTTTGTACATTTACTGTGTACCAACCTTTTCATTCCTGCCCCTAAAGTGTTTGAGATCAGTGCTTTTTCCCTGTAACTGATGGTGATGAGAATAACGGTGTTTAAGACAAAGACTGTAGCTGTTTTTTTCTTGGCTTAAATAGGACTGTCTTGAGTCTCACAGTATTTTGGTTACTCCAGGCTTTTCTATTCCCTAAGCCAGCTCCATCAGGGAGCTGACTTGCAGCGTCTGTGAGCCCTTAGAGACGTCCATATGGCATTGCTCGGGTGTGTGCAGGGCAGCGGTCAGGGGCCTGAGAACCCGCCCCAGGAGGCTTCCTCTGAGCAGCTGGGCGGCCTCTGCAGTTTCACCCGTTTTTTGTTGTGGTCCCCTGGTTACTAGCTCTAGGACGCACACAGGGGTTACCCCAAAACATTGGGAAGACATGGTTCTTCTCCCTTTTCCCTGGGAAAGAGCAGGGAAGAGCAGTTTTCCCATTTTCCCCTGAAGATATGTCACAGGGAGGGCAAGGAAATATTTCTGTTAAAGCAAACGTGGGCACATTTTGGAGCAGAATGTTTGATACACTCTTAACTTTTAAGGAAAAGCATGGGGCTTCAGAGGCATTTTGCCTTCCCTCTTGGGGTGCAGTTCCTCCCCAAGCCCCCCCTTCCTGCTCCCCTCATGCCCTTGGCATGTGTTTGCCTTCTGTGGAACATTCAAGCCGTGTTGGATAGGTGGAAAGGCCAGGCCCCCACTGATAGTCTGCAGACACACTGTGTCCGGGGGAGGCCTCATAAGTAGAAGTTTCTAAGGTTCTGATCCCCAGAAACTGTGCATGGGATGTTGGGCATACGTGTGCATTTCCCTGATAAGAAGGCCCACTGCCTCTATCAGATTCTCCAAGTCCGTGAGGTCCCAGAGATGTCACAGCCTGTGGTTCAGATGACCTTCAAAGGCAGAAGAAAGCCCTAGCAGAAGGTCGAGGGAGGTCTTTGTCCACACGGGCAGGAGAGAGGCCTCTGATAGCTCCAGCCACTGCCACTTCCTGTCTCTTTTTGCAGAAGGAGCGGGAAGTGAGTGGCCCATGACGGCCCTGGGACCACCAGTCTACCTGTAGCACTTGGTTCCATGCTGGAGTAACTCAGTTTTGGTATAGTTCCAGCCACTGCCACTTCCTGTCTCTGTTTTTGCAGAAGGAGCGGGGAGTGAGCGGCCCATGACGGCCCTGGGACCACCAGTCTCCCTGTAGCACTTGGTTCCATGCTGGAGTAACTCGGTTTTGGTGTCTCTGGACGTGGGACTTTCAGTGCTAAACTGGGAACACCCGAGGCTCAGGGGTCAGCCCCAGCTGCCCACTTTTGGACCCCTGATGTGGAGTTTCCTCCTCTCCCCTGAGAGCTGCTCCACAGTGACCCATACCCAGAAGCCCAGGGATTGGGGGCCTCTGTGATGGAAATCCCCAGCAGCTGCGCCCGGCACCAGGTGTCACTAATGAGCCACCTGCGCGTCCTGCCACAGCCTCGCTGGCCAAAGTGAGGGTGTCTCATTACTTTCAAGGGTTGTCACAAGCAGCCCTGGCCTCCAAACAGGAGCAGCTTCGGCCGCCTGTCCAGTAAATGAGAGCCCAGTTTGCTTTTACCACTTGCTTGTGTGGGACAGTTTGGCCACTGGGGAGTGGTGGTAATGAGAAGTATCACCCTCCCCACCCCTCCCGAGCCCCTTGCTGAGACAGAGCTGTGTATGCAGAAGCAGGAGCTATGGAGGCTGTGTGCTTGCAAGGTCCATAGAACGGCACAGGCTGGTCCTTGTAGAAGTGCCGGGGGAACACGAGGCAGCCCGCTCAGGGAGAATCAACCTCTCTGGGGCGCTGGGTTTGAGGGCGGTGTCTCTTTGGGGAGGGAAGCGATCTCATGCTTTGCGTTTGCTTTGTGTTTCCTCCAGACATTTCGGCCTTTGCACAGGCAGCCCCGCTCCCCGAAGCCGCCGACAGCACCCGGTAGGCATCCCTAGGTTGTGTCCACGTCCCTGCCGCCTCCCACACCACCCTTCCACCTCTGGCCAGCCAGATGCAGAACTCCTGGGGCTCATTCACCCTCTGGGCCAGTGAACTCCGCAGAGGGTTTTATTTGCCTCCTATCAGTATGTCAACATTGGGTGGGGCCGAATATGAAACTGGAGCAATCTTGGGACCCGGAGGGGTGGACAGAGGACACTTGGAGTTACAGAAACCTAAGAATAGCTCCTGTACAGAGCCCTTTCTCTGCCAGGCCATGCTGAGCACTTGACTCACATTTCCGCATCTCATTCAGCTTGGTAGTAGGTATCAACGTAGATGTCATCATAACATGCAGCCAGCCCAGCGAGGTTAAGAAATTACATAAGGTCACACAGCTAGGAAGCGATAGAGCCAGTTCTCCAAGTCAAGGCCACCAGAGTCTGAGTCCTGTGGGTGTGCTTGGAGCCCCCGTGCAGCAGTGTCACATCTGGAAAGGGGCTTTGGGGATCACTGCTCACCTCTCAGCCCCCACCACCTTCAAGTTAGCCTGGGAAGGCTGAGGCCGCACAGGGGCAGGCCTGGCTCTCAGCCTCCTCCTGCCTGTCTGCGCGGTATCCACGTGGCCTTTCCTTTAGGCAGGTGTGAGTCAGATTAAAGACCTTAGTCTCAGACCTCACCTGGGAGTCCTGCCAGATGAGAGCAGAGCGGCCTCCCTCAAGGTCTCCTTGACAAACCCTGTTTTACTCTTAGGCTCAACGACCAGCCGAAAGCAGACGTGTTGGAGGCTCACGAAGCAGAGGTGAGGGTGACACACATGAGTCCACAGATGGCCCCTCCCTCTTTTCTCCCTTTGCCATCTCAGAATGTGCAGGGGGCTTGAGAGTGAGTGGGGTGGGTGCTGGGCCCTGGCAAGGGCTGTCCCAGGTGCCCACTGCAGAGGTTCATGGCAGGGAGGAACGATGATGACTGTAATGGAGCACACTTGTCCAAGCCCTGTCTTCCCCATGCTCCCCAGGTGATTGTAGCCTGGATCAAGAACCACTGCCTTGAACCTTGAACATGAGTGTTAACTGAACCTGGATCCCTCTATTGCATTATGGCTTGGAGAATGTTAACAGACTGATTTACTCCTACTCAGGGAGAGTCAGAAACTCTGTGTTTAAACAAGAGTTCCAGAAGGATGGGTGCAGTGAAATTCATCTATGCCAGGGTCGCTCTTGCCCTTCCCTAGACAATTAGATGTTGCTCACAGGTAGATCTTGGAGTATTAGCAGGACGAAGGGCCTCAGGTCACTGGGGCAACTGCCACATATTGTGGATGAGGACACTGAGGTCCAGTGATGCTAAGTGAGCCGCCCGCTGTCCACAGCAGCTGGGTGCCCTGGCAGGATGCCTCTCTCCTCCCTTACCTGGCAGGGGCTCCAGGAGAGGGAAGAGAAGTCACAGAGCCCAGATCTTCTGCCCATGCCTGTTCCTCCCTGCTCTCCTTTCAGGCTGAGGAGCCAGAGGCTGGCAAGTCAGAGGCAGAAGACGATGAGGACGAGGTGGACGACTTGCCGAGCTCTCGCCGGCCCTGGCGAGGCCCCGTCTCTCGCAAGGCCAGCCAGACCAGTGTGTACCTGCAGGAGTGGGACATTCCCTTCGAGCAGGTAGAGCTGGGCGAGCCCATCGGTCAGGGCCGCTGGGGCCGGGTGCACCGCGGCCGCTGGCATGGCGAGGTGGCCATTCGCCTGTTGGAGATGGACGGCCACAACCAGGACCACCTGAAGCTCTTTAAGAAAGAGGTGATGAACTACCGGCAGACGCGGCACGAGAACGTGGTGCTCTTCATGGGGGCCTGCATGAACCCGCCCCACCTGGCCATCATCACCAGGTAACCCAGCCCCAGGCCCTCATGCTGGGTGGCTGCCTCAGCCTCCCCCTTCCCAGAAAGTCACGTTGTTTGGATGCCCTAGAAGGTGTAGAAGTTCTAATAGAGGCACAAGGAAGAAAACTAAAAATGGGATATAACTTCCTACTCACGTAATCTCACTGACACTAAAAAATAAATAAATATGGGCTGGTGCAGTGACTCATGCCTATAATCACAACATTTTGGGAGGCCAAGGTGGAAGGATTGCTTGGGGCCCAGTAGCTTGAGACCAGCCTGGGCAACATAGTGAAATGCTATCTCTACAAAAAATACAAAAAAATTAGCTGGGCCTGGCGGCAGGTACCTGTGGTCTCAGCTACTTGGGAGGCTGAGGCAGAAGGATCACTTGAGCCCAGGAGGTCCAGGCTGCAGCAAGCCAAGGTCATGCCACTGCACTCCAGCCTGGGTGACAGAGTGAGACCTTTCTAAGGTTATAGAAAATCAAATGTCCATCAAAGATACGGAGTGAAAGCCAGTCGTCTCCCACTGCACCTGAGCGCTTCTCCCCAAAGTCAGAGACACTATAAACAGTTAACATCCCTTCTGTTAAAATGAAGACATTTGCATATACTCACATTTTTAACCTGTTTATTCCTTCTTATACAAATGCAAAGGAGAGATCAGGCTGGTTCATGCCTTCTGCGCTCAATAACGGGTCTGAGGTCTGCTCTCTTCTAACACATGCATGGTATCCCCATCACATGGACCGAACCTGGTGGTGTGCTGGTACATGTGTATCAACCAGTTTTGGGTCAGTAGGGAGGGAAGCCCTAATTTGTTACATCCATCACTTTCTGTGGTGTAAATATTCTCACCATGGTCAATTTCAGACTGTCAGCGTGACCTCCCTGGAGTGCATTAGAGTTGGAATGAGTCATGTAACGCTCATGAGCTGATCACTGGTGGTCCCATAATTTATTTACAGAGCAAGACTCTGTCTCCAAAATTAATAAAAAACAAAACGTAATTAATTAATGAAACACAAGACAGGGTCTTGTTCTGTCGCCCAGGCTGTAGTGCAGTGGTGCGATCTTGGCTCACTGCAGCCTCCACCTCCTGAGCTCAAGCAGTTCTCCTGCCTCAGCCTCCCAAGTACCTGAGATTACAGGTGCACACCACCACACTCAACTAATTTTTGTATTTTTAGTGGAGAGGGGCTTTCACCATGTTGGCTGGGCTGGTCTCAAACTCCTGACCTCAGGTGATCCGCCCACCTCAGCCTCCCAGAGTGCTGGGATTACAGGCATGAGCCACTGTGGCCTGCCTGAAACAGGAAAACATTCACTAACAAAAAAATCTTACTTTGTTTAGAATATGCTGAAGAAAAGTGGGACACAGATAAGGAAATCACCAATACTCTACCCCTCACCCAATTTTCTTTTTTTTTTTCCTTTTTTTCTTTTTTTTGAGGGGGAGTCTCCCTCTGTGCTGGGATTACAGGCATGAGCCACTGCTCCCAGCCCCTTGCCCAGTTTTCAAAGGCTCTGAGACTCCAGAATATTTTTCTAAATTCATAGTCCTTTCCTAAGATAGCTCCCCTGGAACAGGGGAGTGACCCCACATTCTCTCTGGGTCCCTCCTCACCCTAGGTTTTAGGAGGTGATGCAGGTGGAGACCCCAGACCTCAGGCTCCTTTTCCAATAGTCACTGTGATACCCCTAACATCTCCCCTACCCCTTTCCCTCCTTGCACGCTCCTTTATTGTTATAAAAATCCCATGATCAAGAAAAAATGAAAACTATAATGAGACTCTTGACAGTGATCTCCAGTGCCTTGATGTTGCCTGGTGATTGCCTTAAAAGGCCAAGTTCTTCCCCATCAGAGTGATCCTGCCTTGAACCCATCAAGCATGGCTACTCTGAGTTCCTGGGAGCTTTGATGCGCTGTTTCCTGTTGTAGGACAGGCAGGCACTGGCTCTCAGGGAATGGGGTTTGTGTGCATGTACGTGCGTGGCATCATGTGTGTTTCTGCATGTTCAGGCCAGACCCCAGCGGCCATCGGCTGGGTTAAAGATTTGGCTCACAGCTGAGGGGGTGGAGAGAGTCCTTGCAGGCAGGCAGGCACAGCTCTCCCCGTGCGCTCCACCAGGGACAGGGTCAGGCTACACCAACCAGGACCTGTGCTTGACCCACCACCACCCTCGACAGCTTCTGCAAGGGGCGAACATTGCACTCGTTTGTGAGGGACCCCAAGACGTCTCGACATCAACAAGATGAGGCAGATCACTCAGGAGATCATCAAGGTGAGGGGGTGTCTGCTGTTGAGGGGTGGGTTTCTGGCCAGTTCCAGGGCTCTTGGCTGTTCTCCCGCCCTGTCAGCCCCCATCAAGTTGGTTTGGCAGCTTTGCCTCTGCCTCTAGCTCAGGCTCCTCAAGGGTGGGACCCTGTCTCCTCCTCCCTGTCTCTCATTCACTCACAGCTGGGAGCTGACCATCTACATGATTAGCCTTGATGGAATTGACTTGTTTGGGAAGGAACTCGGCAGGCTTTAGAGACAGTTTCAATCCAGGTCACACCCGCTGTGTGAGTCTGGGCAGGTTGTTCAACCTCTCTGAGCCTCAGTTTTCTCTCCTGTAAAATGGGAATTCTCATATAGCCTCCCTCTCTGGATTGGTGTTAGGTTGAAAATGCAATAATCTATGCATTGGGGTGCACAGGAGCCCTGGGTCTGGTGTTTGAGGAAGCTTGACCTTGATTGAGATCATGCCTGTGTCAGGTCACCCACGTGCCATTACCTGCCTTGTCAGTGCTCAGTTAAAATAGAGCATTGGTTAGAAATCACCCACTGCCACCTTCCACTTGGCAGATGAGAAAACCAGGCTTCAGAGGAGTTGAGCTCTGTGTCCATGGCCACAGAGTAAGCGAGACTCTGAGCTGAGATGGAATTCAAACCCCAGATTTCAGTTTTAGTCCAGGGCTCCTTCTACAGCTCAGATGTTAGGAACATCCCAAGTTGGGAACCCCTCTGTGGGAATGCCTCTCTGTTCCCCTGCCCTGAGCCCTGGCCCTGACTGAGAGTGGAGACCAGTGATGCATATCCTGACAGAAAACCCCAGCTCATTTAGGCCCTTTATGACTTAACACAGATAATCTCACTGTTCCTACTCCCCTGGCTCCCCGCCCTTCACCCTGTTCATACCCACTACCTTTTCCAAGATTAAGGTGGCTATTTGGAAGCATGGTAACATTAAAAGAGCATGGACCCATCTGGGGTCAGATCTCAGCTCTGCTCCTTCACTGCTGTGTGCCTTGGGGCAAGTGACTTTCCCTCTCTGAACCTCGATGTATTCTGTAAAATGGGGACAGTATACTGCATGGAATGGTGAAGATCAAATGAGGGGGTTTGGGTAGAGCATCCAGCCCAGGGTGGCAGCTCCATCGTCACTGAGCATCTTCACTCCCACCGATCTGGGGCTCGCCATCCTCCAGGGCATGGGGTATCTTCATGCCAAGGGCATCGTACACAAAGACCTCAAATCCAAGAACGTCTTCTATGACAACGGCAAGGTGGTCATCACAGACTTCGGGCTGTTCGGGATCTCAGGCGTGGTCCGAGAGGGACGGTGAGTGGGTCTTGGGTATCTGGGTGGGACGGGGATGCTGGGTGGGGAAGGGCAGGCCTGAGGTCTGGCCCTTTACTGTTTGTTGCTGAGCTGCAGTTGTCCCTGCAGGGAAGTTCAGGTCGCTTTGGTCCTGCCCTTGTAGTTCTGGTTCAGAATCAGATTTGGGTCACGTTTGGATTCTCAGACTGACTTCCTGGAGACCAGATCACCACACTCATATTTGCCCTGGCTGTTCACCAGCTTGGCCAAGGACCCAGGATTCATTTCCCCACAATAAGGAAGAGTGTCATTTTATTTCCCCAAATCTTGTAGGGGTTAGGTGGGGAGAAAGGACCCTCCCCTGGCATCCTGGGAACCCTGAAAGGGAGTGTGGCAGTGAGGCTGCAGGACCAGTCTCAGGCAGGTTTGAGATCCACAGGCAGATCGTGGTTCCTGGTTACAGAAGCACCCCATTCTCCTAGCAAAGAGAGATGGGCACCTTCAGAGGCTCCTCCCTGTCAATATGTATCCGTTCTTGCCCTACTTTTCTAGAAACACCCCGTCATGACTCATTTGTAGAATTCCTCAAAAGCACCGGTGCCTTTCCCAAGTGCGGGGTCAGTGTGCTAGCTCTCTGTATGTTCTCTAAGCTGTGTGTGGGTGCTCTGCCGGCCCTGGGACAGACCTGAGCCAGGCAGTCCTCTTGGCTGCCTGCTGAAAGGCCTGTGTCCCTGCCTCGGCTTCCTGGTCTTCAGGCGTGAGAACCAGCTGAAGCTGTCCCACGACTGGCTGTGCTATCTGGCCCCTGAGATCGTGCGTGAGATGACCCCTGGGAAGGATGAGGATCAGCTGCCATTCTCCAAAGCTGCTGACGTCTATGCATTTGGGTGAGTAGGGCCCT